TGGTGCTTCAAGCCATCTCTATATCCCCCTTTCATTTTGAAGAAATGATTTTTCCACTTGTACAATCTTGCTGCTCATGGTTAAGTGTTAAGTTTTGACGGTATAATAATATTCATGCATGCAGAGTCTGGCACAGAAAGTGCAGAAGCCACATCTGAGAAACCTGTTCTTCCGTGTGTCGACGTTGTACCGTCTCGGAGCTAGTCTGGTGTTTGTTATTGACGGGGAAGCCACCCAGTTGAAGTGGGGTACGCTGGACAAGAGAGAGGGGAGGGGGGAGGAGAGGAGGAGGAGGACTGGTCGAAGGACTATACTCCAGTCTTATGTGAATGAGGTAATGTCTTATGTGCATGAGGTAATGTCTTATGTGAATGAGGTAATGTATTATGTGAATGAGGTAATATCTTATGTGAATGAGGCAGTAGAGCTGTACACCAATGGGACAGAAGAAAGTGTCCATATTAGTGAGGTTTCCTTATTTCAGGGGTTGAATTGCATGCAAGAACTGTTCTTGGGGAAAGAAAAGGTGTCCTTATTAGAGAGGTGTCCTCATTTCAGGGGTGTCTACTTTATCCTGTTGTGCTATGCTATTCTCTATTCTGTGGTGTTCCCTGCAGTGCTGTAATCTACTGGACAGTCTTGGAGTCCCATACATTAGGAGTAAAGGAGAGGCTGAGGCTCTCTGCTCCATTCTCAACTACACCGGCGTGAGTCGTATACATTACTACCTTTCCTTTCCATATTTTTACTACCTCTCTCTCTCTCTTTCTCTCTCTATTTCATTTGTTATTGCTGAGTGAAACAAACCTACCTCAATGTACCTATAATAGTCTTATATACTGTATCTAACGTTGCCATACCTACATTAATGCCGCATATGGTGAACTGTATATTATTGCCACAAAATACACGTTAGTTAGTTATATAATGGGCGTCAACGATCAAGTGTAACTTGCCAGCGCTTACAGGCTTACGTGTGAACGGGAAACATCTTGGGTTCCGAGGCTACGTTCTCTCTCTCTCTCTCTCTCTCTCTCTCTCTCTTCAGATGGCAGATGGTGTTCTAACCAATGACAGCGATTCATTTCTCTATGGTGCTACTACTGTCTACAGAGACCTCCATACAACAGAGAGGGTGGGTTATTGATCTTTCCCCCTATCTCGCTCCAAACTTTCATCTTTCCCCCTATCTCACTCCAAACTGTCATCTTTCCCCCTATCTCACTCCAAACTGTCGTCTTTCCCCCTATCTCACTCCAAACTGTCGTGTTTCCCCCTATCTCACTCCAAACTGTCGTCTTTCCCCCTATCTCGCTCCAAACTTTCATCTTTCCCCCTATCTCACTCCAAACTGTCATCTTTCCCCCTATCTCACTCCAAACTGTCGTGTTTCCCCCTATCTCACTCCAAACTGTCGTCTTTCCCCCTATCTCACTCCAAACTGTCGTCTTTCCCCCTATCTCACTCCAAACTGTCGTCTTTCCCCCTACCTCCCGTCTTTCCCCCACCGCATGTGAACGGTATCTATCGTATGTACATGGTCAGCAGCACCTACCAGTGGCAAAGCCTTGTGGAGATGAATCTTATTAGTTCAGAACCACAAGTGCTGTGCTCCTGGTAGCCTTTATAAACTCGTGATGCCAGAGAGAGAAGTTGCACTATGCTCTGCTGATGAGGGCCAACAAGCCCAAAACAGCTGTCCAGAGCTCCACATCTTTTTTTCTCTTGGCATCACATGGTTTTTTCTACATGTCATTTCTCTATAGAGTCCTACTGTGGAGTGCTACACTATGAAGGACATACATGAAAAATTGGGTAAGCATACCGCTACCATAAATTTGCTCCTAATATACCGCATTCAAGGTTGCATCCATTGCCATGTTGACGTAATCGTTTGGTTGACTAGATTTGCATTTTCGTCTTTGTACAGCATCAATGACAAAAACTTTGCCCTAATAGAATATTTTCGTCTGCAGCTCTGAATCGATCAGACCTAATTGCACTGGCCCTTCTGCTTGGGTGTGACTACTGCCCTCAAGGTATGCTGATGCACAACACATACAGTGTCACTAGAACGTAGCTACTGTATTCACTCATTGCGTACATGTGTGTGTGGAACTCCTCTAATCTACGTATCAGAGAGTCGGTAGACTCTTTCTATAGGGATGACACGGGTGAAATCTCACGTGATCCGCGTACAAGACAACTAAAAACTCGGTGAGAATCACTTCCTAGGCCTTCAAAGCATACTAGCAATAGTCTACGGGCCCATATCTACCTATACATGCTTCCAAGTCCCCCAAGAGCTCATACGCACCTTCAGTCGTCCACGCGAGAATTCGCTCATACGCGATTTCACGATTTTCGTGTCATCATATTCTTCATCTTCTTCTTCTTCCTCTTTTTCTTCTTTAAACCCGATATCTCCTTACCAGTACCAGTTCAAGCACTGATTTTTTCACTGAAGGTCTCCAATTTCGCCGGAGGTGTGCACGGACATCAAGCGATCGTTTCTTTCTTGCCGCTAGTCACTACGGTAGATCATGGAGCTCTTCCCTGGTCGACCTGAACAACGCCATTTGCTGCTTACTCAGCATCAGTGATCCGCGCGCATGCGCCAGGCAGGGGCGTTGTCCAATGTGCTTGCGAACGTATTCTACTAGAACTGTTTGTAGGGAAAGAAAAGATGTCTTTATAATTAGAGGTGTCCAGGCATCAATGGGACAGATTAAAGTTTCTATATTAGCAAGGTGCAGGGGTTACTAGAACTGTTTGTAGGGAAAGAAAAGATGTCTTTATAATTAGAGGTGTCCAGGCATCAATGGGACAGATTAAAGTTTCCATATTAGCAAGGTGCAGGGGTTACTAGAACTGTTTGTAGGGAAAGAAAAGATGTCTTTATAATTAGAGGTGTCGCCGTTTCAGTTCAGTTAGTTGGGGTTCCACTGTAATCTACACTGTTCATATACGTACATTATTGTGTGTGTGTGTGTGTGTGACATCAGGTGTTGTGGGAGTGGGTAAAGAGACAGCTCTCCAGTTCCTGAGGGCCTCCAAGTCAGGTTCCCAGTCCACCTCCGATGTCCTGGACCAGTTCCAGGAATGGAGGAACGGCTCCATCACGGAAGGTTTGTACTGTAGCTATCTATACATACATATAGGTTAGACGCGGAAGCGAGGTGTCTACGCTACATTGCAACCCGAGGGGCTGTGGAATGTTGGCGTCCCGAGCGCAGCGAGGGCGCTACCCACATGCCCCGAGGGTTGCAATGTAGCGTAGACAACCGAGCTTCCGCGTCTAACCGGTTTAGACCGGAGTATCTGATTGGTGTTTGCGCGTTCAAATGGGTAGCAACAAGCTAGCAACGCTGTGCTCATTCCTCATTCCTTACCTTCGGATGGAACAAGACGCTTTTTTTACGTGTGAGACTCCGAGGAGACAGCCCCCGCCCCCCGTCAAAAATCGTTTACGTCATCATAAAACGCCCTCATTGGTGGTGCGCGTTTGAAAGGGTTAGCAACGCACGGCAACGGCCCAATGTGTTTGTGTATATCGCCAGAGCTGAAGAAGCCGACGCTTTTTTCGTGGAATATTGACGTGATTTCTGACTTTCGCGAGCTCCGGAGACTGTCCACAGACTTCTTGCAGGTGCACTACGCATTTTAAAAGAGCTACTTTGCCAGTCGCGCCTTCTACGCTTACATATATCGAACGCGGAATCGGCCGGTTTGCGCAGATAACGACTTTTTAGAATAGCCATTTTGTACGGGGAGTTTGCTGTAGACCACCTGCAAACGCCATTAGACACCTGAAACGAGGTGTCTATGAAAAATAAACCCCCCGCAATTCTGTAATCTGATTGGTCAATTGCGCGTGACTGCGGTCTAAATGTACATAGTTCATAATACACTCTGAATAAGAGGGGGACATTGAAAGTGTCTGTCCTTTATTCAGAGGTGTTCCTTATTACGAAGTACATAACATTAATATAGACTGATGTATTGGTATGGGGCAGAAACAAGTGTCCTTTATTCAGGGGTGTTCCTTATTACGAGGTACATAACATTAATATAGACTGATGTATTGGTATGGGGCAGAAACAAGTTATTCATAGACTGATGTGGTTTCGTGTGTATACTTTCAGATGACATTGAGAGCAAAATTCAGTTGACAGTGTTCAGGTATTCATACTACTATGTTAGTAATGTGGGGTGATGTTGTTTTTCTCCCTATGTACATATGTGTGTAGGAAAGCGATGAGTTCTCCCAACTTTCCACAGAAAGAGGTATATATTATATACAGCTACACCACTGCTTTCACAATCCTTCACACTAAATAAGTTAGGCATCTCGTCCAAAGTATATGAGGCATCTTGCATGTAACTGTATACTAGCTTCATACAATGTCGGTTGCCTAGGGATATCCAACAAACTGTAGTACCTCGACTATTCTCTTCTGCACGTCTTGAAGGGCAAAGAACTTAGTCATCTTGCGTTAGAAGCCCTCGGGCCCTTCTTGTAGCAAGGAGCGGAGTGCAAGGAGACGCAACAAGGGGAATGTAGCATAGCCCCCAGCTTGGGGGAAAATACAGTGGAACGTTTTCTTCACAAGGCTTCAAATTTACTATGTGTCTAATCAATAAGTCAGAGCTAATCGTGAACTTAGTCCCCGTAGTAGCAATATTAACTTGACGTTTTCTTAGCCCCCATTTACACAGAGAACTTTTGAACGTGTTTAACAAAACGTACAATCTAAACCAACGGTTTCCGGTAGACGCAC